TTTTGGTCAAATATTATTTATTGCACAAATTAATCAATTTATTTGCCACAACATCCAAATGATTGATCACATACACAATTTGTCTCACTCCATCATCGTCATCGTCAACACTGCCGATGCCACAACCAACAATCACAACCATCTCAAACCATAACCACCACTTCTTTTCTCCGACAAATCACCACAACCAACCTTTCTCTTCTTGAGCTCCGATCTGCAGCAAAACACAATCATCACTTCTCTACTCCGGCTCTGGTCTGCAGAGCCCCCCCTCCTCCCCACAGAGAGAGAGAGAGAGAGATGAGGGAAAGTAATTAGGGTTTGAGATGAAATTTGGTGGGGGTGACTGGAGGTAGGTGGATATATAAATTAATTTTAGGTCCCGTTTGATTCCCTCTATTTTCCTAGGAAGTTTGAAAAAGTTCTCCATTTTCCACCTTTTGTGATATTTGATAGCAAAAAATTTCCTCCCTCCCCACCCCTCACGCGCCTCTTTTTTAGGTTTTCAAGGAAAATGTTTTCTTTTGGTTTTGGTGGAAATTGATTTTCAGCATTTTTTTAATTTGCAATTGAAAAAAATTCTAGACACAATGGTAAAAAAAATTATCACTTTTATCGACAATTTTCATGCAAAATAAAGTCAAACGAATGGTATTCGGTATGGTAATTATGATTTTTAATTATTATTATTTTATTTTATTTTTGACAATTGGAACAAATTTTAAGACCCAATGGTAAAAGAAATTATCACTTTAATTGACAATTTCCATAAAAATAAAATCAAACGGACACCAAACTTTCAACATTTTTCAGGTGGAAAATTATATCAATCAAGTCCCAATAAAATAATTTTTAGGTAATTCAATTCCCTAGAATTCATTTTTTTTCCACCCATTTTTCACATTTGAAATCAAACGAACCCTAATTTTATATTTGAATTATCATCTGATTTTTGTATAACCAAATTTTGAATCAAATTTTTGAAATGATAACTTAAAAATTTTGGTTCTATGTAATTCCCACAAATAATATCCCAACAAATTCTATAATATTCACGAGCTATATTGTTAAAAAAAATATGATTCGTCCTTGAACTTATAGAGATATCTTCATGAGCAAACTCACAGTTTTTCCAAGTAACTAACTTCTCTAAGGGTGCGTTTGATTGCAACGTGGCAAACGGGTGGAAAGAAAATGAATTTAGGGAAAGTAATTACCTAGAAATTGTTCTCAAGTGAATTGTTAATTAAGTGTGTTTGATTGGTATAATTTTCCACCCGATTTTTTTTTGAAATTTTGGATTTTTTGTTTACGTTTGGCTTTATTTTACATGGAAATTGTCCATTAACATGAGAATTTTTTCCCCAATTGATTATAAAATTTGTTTCCATTGTTAAAAAGAAAAAAAAA